CACGGAGGTGACTTTATATAACAGCAGTATGTGTTCACGGAGGTGACTTTATATAACAGCAGTATGTGTTCACGGTGACTTTATATAACAGCAGTATGTGTTCACGGATGTGACTTTATATAACAGCAGTATGTGTTCACGGAGGTGACTTTATATAACAGCAGTATGTGTTCACGGTGACTTTATATAACAGCAGTATGTGTTCACGGTGACTTTATATAACAGCAGTATGTGTTCACGGAGGTGACTTTATATAACAGCAGTATGTGTTTACGGAGGTGACTTTTTATAACAGCAGTATGTGTTCACGGAGGTGACTTTATATAACAGCAGTATGTGTTCACGGAGGTGACTTTATATAACAGCAGTATGTGTTCACGGAGGTGACTTTATATAACAGTAGTATGTGTTCACGGAGGTGACTTTATATAACAGCAGTATGTGTTCACGGAGGTGACTTTATATAACAGCAGTATGTGTTCACGGAGGTGACTTTATATAACAGCAGTATGTGTTCACGGAGGTGACTTTATATAACAGTAGTATGTGTTCACGGAGGTGACTTTATATAACAGCAGTATGTGTTCACGGAGGTGACTTTATATAACAGCAGTATGTGTTCACGGAGGTGACTTTATATAACAGCAGTATGTGTTCACGGAGGTGACTTTATATAACAGCAGTATGTGTTCACGGAGGTGACTTTATATAACAGCAGTATGTGTTCACGGAGGTGACTTTATATAACAGCAGTATGTGTTCACGGAGGTGACTTTATATAACAGCAGTATGTGTTCACGGAGGTGACTTTATATAACAGCAGTATGTGTTCACGGAGGTGACTTTATATAACAGCAGTATGTGTTCACGGAGGTGACTTTATATAACAGCAGTATGTGTTCACGGAGGTGACTTTATATAACAGCAGTATGTGTTCACGGAGGTGACTTTATATAACAGCAGTATGTGTTCACGGAGGTGACCATAACTTAATTTTATTATTAAACAGTACTTCTTCATCGGCGAACATGCTGGCTCTCTGACGAGACAGAGAGGGAGATAGACGACAAAAACAAACAAACATGCAAATGGCATTTATCGCGGCCAGGAAAATTATCAAGCTAATTTTAATATTTGTGCGATTAGTTGATTTATTGAATATGGCGACAGGCCTATGTACATGCACAGTTGGCTTCGTGGGGCCTCATCTGAACTTCACTAGTTGTAACATGCTACGTTCTCATAAAAGAATTTCCTCAATATCTTTCCTTTAAAGCAGCAATCTCCAACCTTTTTAGTGCCACAGACATTTAACATCAGACATAAGAGCATGATCCATACGTGCACTGTAATCTTGTGCTGGCTAATGTGGCAAAATAAGTTAAATCTCCATTTCATTGCCTCAAAGTTGAACAATTACGATCTAAACCATCTTACCAAACTATCTGATAATAAAAGACAATTACAGAGATAATTACATCCAAAACAATCATAAAAGTATTGTACGGGCGTTGATTCCATAGACTGTATATATTAACAGACGTAGTCAGGCCTGTCTCCGCCGTTCTAACTAATGGGCCAAAACTTGGGCTTTCATGGAGTGACTCAAAAATGCCGCGGGGGCTGGAAAATGTACAAAAACCATCTGCGCATGTGTCAGCTGCACGAGCTCCATTCATTTAAACGAGAGACTTCTAAAGTCCACAGCGACTAAACTAGACTGGTCCAAAACACTCAGCATTGACACACATGTGGAACGGAGCTTTGGGCCAAGAGCCAACTTTTGGTCCATCCTGTAAAGACGTTTTTGAGAGGTAAGAAGATGCTATATGTTAGCATTGGCTAATTCTTATTCCGGGTCCACCCCCACAGGCCCAGGGTGGTACTGCAGCATGTTTGCACACGTCATTTTGGCCACTTTTGAGCTGCGACCCGCCCCCACTGGCGCTGACATCTAACATATATTTTGTGCCCTATACACTCTTGAACTGCACAACTTGGCTAAACTACAGATCCATGAAAAGCAGAAGCCAGAAATCACACAATCCTGACCTTGATTTCCCGCACAGATGTTTATGGCTTGTGTTGAAGGTGGCTAACACACAAATGTTTACAGACTCTTACTGTCTGAAGAGGACTCAAAACATTCGTACTGACAGATATAACATGTACTGTATCTGTATGTAACAACTCGGATACAGAGACAGTCCTACTGCATCGCATCAGCTTGTGACACTGAATCATTAATGAGCCCTAATTCTTTGCCAACTCTTTGTTCTGAAGCATAAGAGGGACACAGAGGGTTAACTATTTGGGGACTTATGACACAATGTGTGTCCGGAGGTTTCAGACTGAAAGTTGTGGTCAGAAGCTAGGCCCTTCTCCTGACCTGGGACTGCAAAGGGCAAAGTATGGTTGCTATGAGATGGCAGCTCCCTTACTCCCAGTCTCACAGTATTGACCTTACGGCACACAGCACAGTCAATGTTCCAATCCGCTTTATAAACCAGACAGTTTCCAAAGTGCTGCATATGTAATAAGTAGTGCTGTCCAACAATTATTTTTTTAAATTGTGATTAATCATATGAATGTCATAGTTAGCCTGCGATTACTCGCACATTTTTATCTATTCTTTGTCTCTTGAATTATCATTTTAAAACTCTTATCACCGTTGAAAAGATTTTTTCTTTTTAATTGAAAACGTGTAGCGTTATATTTCACACTCACACTTGATGCAAAATGTCATACAATTCATTTCTGTCAATAAACAGAAGCACAACATGTATAATTCATCCATTTCTAAGGAATCAAAACAGGGTGATACAAAAAAAGAAGCAAAGTGCCCAAGTTTGATCTTAGTTGCTCTATCCATATGTTTTGAAAAGAACGCAGCGGAGAAGAGCTCTTATCAGTGTGTGATAACTATCGTTCAAACCGACAATACACACAGGATAACTTTGGTCTTGTCAGTCGTCCCACCTGGCAGCTCTGTTAAACTAAACTTTCCATTCAGAACCTTGTTATCATTCATTTCAGCATTTTGCACGTGACAAACCAGTAGTCTCTTTCACAGCGAGCAAGCAGCAAGACCGAAGCAAAACACAAACCAAACACTCGCGGGGGGAGATTTCATAACTCTTTGAAGCAACTTTTGTTAAAGTTAAACTCATCATTCTATCAATGTGCAGAAGCCAGTACTTTTCCACTACTTGTTTTGACTCTCTCTGCTGCACTGTGGCAGCTGCTGATTGGACGTCTCTGTTTCTCCTGACTATATCACCACTGGCAGTCTGTAACATCCCTTGTTCGTGCTGTCTCTACCATTTACAATAAAACATGTCTTCTGTCTGAATTAAAGACACGATTCCAGACTTTGTAATCTTCTTCAGGGGGTTATTATGATGGAGTCATAATAGCGTAACAATATATTTAAAAAAAAACTACAAAAACAGGAAAAACACTATAAAGATTTTTTTTAAACATGCATTCGCTGCATTCTTTATAGGCAAGGTAAGAAAGATAATGTAGAGACTCATAGTTCAGCAGGTTACCTACAAACAAATGAAAACACAGAGGACCACAACACTTTTTTTCTATTGTGTTTTGAAATAATTAAATGAAATAAAAATATGTCTTGGGAGACTGCCCTAAAGAAAACGTGCGCTGCAAAAAAACCATTACACTATGTATCAGTATCAGCACCAACTCTGAGGCCAAGTCTCGTTTTATGGGACGCCTTCCGTAGACTTCCGACAGTGGTGTGTACAGCTTGTAAAAATGCCAAATAAAATGTGTATTTTGAATATTGACTGTAATCAGCAACAATATGGCAAACAAAGGTCTATAAAGAATAATTTTTTGAAGAATATTTTAGTTTCATTCTAGTTTCACCCATACATTGTATTTATAACTTTTTTACTTGTATGGATGCAAGGAACAAAAAGATCTTCAATAATGCAATAGAATAATAGCACAAATGTATGTTGAGTATGAATTGGCAAAGTGAAGTAGATGAACTCTTACCATGATAACTGTTGTAAGCTACCGGACTGGAGATGAGTGTAAAATAAACACTGCTGGATTAAAACTCGCTAAGGTTATACTTCTGCGTCGTGAGAAAAAAAACAAGCTTATGCAATTGTCAACAACCGCTGCAACCTTCAAATCCGGAGTTGTGCTGGGGATAGACGTGGCCGAGATCGGGGATTAGCCGTGATACAAACTCTGGCTTGTTAGCTCACACGGTTAAAGAGTTCTTGATGGAGCTGTAGGGAAGCACGGTGCAAGAAGGTTCTGGGCCTTTCTGTTTAGAGTTTGCATGTTCTCCACAACCTCTAAAAACAAAGACATGTACAATAGGACTGAATGTAATGTGAGAGGCTTTGATGCGTCGGAGTGATCGATGTCTCAATCACTGCTGTCATCACCATGTGTGGAGGGATTGGGAAATACCAGAACACCAACATTGTACAGAGCTTTGTGTGACTTTGGTTTGTGAGATGCGCTTATACCAGTGTGGGAGGGTCCCAGCTCAAAAGTGGCCAAATTGACGTGCGCTGACATGCTGCAGTACCACCCCGGGCCGATGGGGGTGGACCCAGAAGAAGAATTAGCCAATGCTAACATATAGCGTTAGCAGACCTCTCAAAAACATCTTTACAGGATGGACCAAAAGTTGGCTCTTGGCCCAAAGCTCCGTTCCACATGTGTGTCAATGCTGAGTGTTTTGGTCCACTCTAGTTTACTTGCTGTGAATTTTTGAAGTCTATCGTTCAAATGAATGGAGCTGCGCTGACGTATGCACAGATGTGTTTTTTCACAATTTTCTTGTGGGCGGGACCACTCGCGGCCATCTTGGATTGCTCCATGAAAGCACTTTTCATGGCCAACTCCTATGAACGGCGGAGATAGACGTGACTCTGTCCATTAATATATACAGTCTATGGCTTATACAAATAAAGATTATTTACTGACATTCTTGAAATGTTGTTTGTTCACAGGGGGCATCTTCGAGACGGTGGAGAATGATCCAATCGGAGTGGAGGAGCTGGCCTTCAAGTTCGCCGTCACAAATATCAACCGCAACCGCACGCTCATGCCAAACACCACGCTGACTTACGACATTCAGAGGATCAATCTGTTCGACAGCTTCGAGGCTTCTAGGAGAGGTGAGGGTGGAACACCCATCTCACTTGTTTATGTCTGTCTACACTCTAGAAAATATTGCCCTAGTCCAACGAGAAAAGTTAGGGCAACCCTCTCCGCTCACCTGCTTGACTTGTATCGAGAAGTGCACAATCGAGTCATAGTAAAAGCTCTTTTTGTTTTGAGACAACTCCATTTTTATCTTCACTCGATCATTTTATTAACTGGTGACAACTCAATAATTCTTTTCACGTGTAAGGGCTTTTGTGTTGCATACTCACTTTTTTAAGCTTCATGTGCTCAATTTGTAACACAAAGTGTACTCGTATTAAAATACTTGTAACTTAAATTTCTTTCAATTGGACTTACTTAATTTTTAGTAATTTTACAATATATATTTTATACATGAATGACTAACAAACTGATTTATTTTTACCTGCAATACTGGACAAATTTGACAGTCAAAGCGACAACACTGATAAAAACTATACCGGTGCATTTAAACTTTAAGAAGGGTTTTTCAACCTCAGGGACTTATTTCTGAAGTGCTATACATCACATGTGGCTCCACTTTAAGTAGAAATTTGATGCATTGATTTGGCCCTTCAATGATTTCTACAATATTAACTGTAAAAGTATTTTCCGTCAATAGAATATTTGAATAAGTATTAAGTACATGGGATGTGTTCATGGATGAAGCTCTAAAGTTTTATGAAGGAACATGGTGAAAGGTTAACTGCATGCATGGGCAGCACGGTGGCTGAGTGGTTAGCACTCTCGCCTCTCAGCAAGGAGGTTCTGGGTTTGAATCCCAGTCGGAACAGGGCCTTTCTTCGTTGTGAGGCGCCTTGAGTGGCCTTGTGTTGGAAAGGCGCCATACAAATAAAGTTGATTGATTGATTGATTTCTTAGTGGAGTTTGCATGTTCTCCTCGTGTCTGCGTAGGTTTCCTCCGTACTCTGGTTTCCCTAAAAACATGTGCAATAGTTCAGTGTGAATGTGGGACAGTGGATGCAAATGGTCCCATGGCTACAATCGGGAGTGATGTGTTCATGAACATGTACTGTCCCAACCAAATAAACAAATAATAAATAAATAAAATAACAATTGGTTGAAAAGAACTGTATCTAAATGTAGTGAACAACGTTATACATTTTATAAAATGCTCCTTTTGAGAGCCAGGACTGTGGCCCTCATTTTCAGTGTGTCTAGCTTGAGAAAAAGTTTCTGAAAGACTTCAAAAGCTTGTCTTTAGTGACACTTTAGTGTCTTTTTATAGTTGAGATTCAAAGCATAGATGACACCCATGAGAAGAGCACAGCACCTTGGGATAGTTTTTTCACAATTGCTCCGGTCCTTGTTGCAGAGAATTCTTCTCCGATGATTGCAATACTCATGGTCAAGTGATGAAAACTCTTCATAGTCATCAGTGCTCTATTGAAAACACAGAAAGAGTTATACTTTTGTCTTATTCTAGTCGTTCAGGCAGAATACAATATTACAATATAGTTTTATCATTTCTATGAGGTGTTCAGAACAACATACTGAAAGCTGTCCTGTCCCTCTCAGCTTGTGACCAGCTGGCACTGGGCGTGGGCGCCGTCTTTGGCCCCTCTCATAGCTCCTCGGTCAGCGCGGTGCAATCGATCTGTAACGCTCTGGAGGTGCCCCACATCCAGACCCGTTGGAAGCACCCGTCAGTGGACAACAAGGACAGCTTCTACGTTAACCTGTTCCCAGAGTACGCCTCCATCAGCCGGGCCGTGCTGGACATCGTACAGTACTACAAGTGGAAGAGTGTCACTGTGGTGTACGAGGACGCCACCGGTGAGTCATGGAAACTGCCATCACTTTGTATAGCACATGCAATATCCCATGTTTGCATTTATATATGAAAATAACATGTTCAAATCTAAGACTAATTTATCCAGACAACCCAGATTTGGATGAATTTATTCATGACAAAATAACAATGGACTACTCTACTCAATGGGTTTTAATCTGGTCAAAGGTCAAGGTGCAGCAGCACACAAAGATCAAAATAACTGACCTATATATACTGTACCTGGAAGTGAAAAATAAATACAGGGCTCACTTTGAATGCTTTCATTGAACAGAAGAAAGTTTAAGGTGTCCTTTCTATGAGGAGGATTTCTCTTACTCATGCTTGTTTCTTTGAAATGTTATTTTGGCTGTAATCAACCACAGTATTTCTAAAAAACGTATTAAGAAAAGAGATCCTCCATTCGTCCCACAGTGGGGAAATGTGTGCAAAGTTATATACTGTACATATAGGGCAGGGTAATAAGTCATTGATGACCTTTAATCTTATGGTTAACTTTCCATCTGTCATCCACACATGCAGTACCAACCTCTAAAAGCTTAGGGCTAAATTTGGATAAAAGTAAACTGTAACGTTAAAATGTTACCACCAAAATATAAATGAATACGGGTTTGTTCCATCTTTAAACAGTGTTATTTATGATGCATACTATATTTACTAAACCATATTTATAAAGAACTTTTCATGACACCGAAAGCCACTTCACATTTAATTATTGCTCCTTGGACTATGGTACTATATTACCACTGAAGCACAGCTGCCCTGGGGCAGAGTGACGGAAGCGAGTCAACCACAATTAGGATCAGGTTTTTGCATTCAGGGGGTGCCTCCTGCCTATTCTTCTGTTTTATTCATGATGAACTGTAAGATTGAATTAGTTTTGGTAAGAAGTGAAACAAAAGACCAAACAAAAGGATCAATGCAAGATGACCGAACAGGGATAACATAATATAAGGTGTTTTTAAGCCCATGTGTGACTGCCCTTTCTGCTCTGCTCTCCAGGACTGATCCGACTGCAGGAGTTGATCAAAGCTCCTTCCAGGTACAGCATCAAGATCAAAATCCGACAGCTGCCCACAGGAAGTAAAGATGCACGGCCTCTGCTCAAAGAAATGAAGAAGGGGAAAGAATTCTATGTCATCTTTGATTGCTCCTACCAGACATCAGCCGACGTCCTAAAACAGGTCACAAGCTCCATACTACATTCCAAACCCCATTTCAATGCTGAAATACAAAAGACAAACTCAATGCCAAATTTTATACAAAGATTATTTATAAAAGTTGTTCAATGTTAATGATTTTACAATATTGGCATTTAGTCCTGAACCAAGAGAAATATTCTATCTAGTGGACAAAATACTATTTTGTCCACTAGATTTATAGACAGCACTGTTAACCTTTTAGGTGGGGACCATGCACAGCTTTAAATGCTGACATTTCATTTTAGATACATGTTCATGGGTTAGGGTTAGGGTGACGGGTGACGGGGCGTGGGACATTCTCCACTGATGTCTGCTGTCGTGTCCCACAGCAGACACTTAACCCCACTTTGCCTGAACTCCCTGCTGAAAGATCAAGGCTGTGCCGTCAACGACAGAGCCGTCCTCCTGTGGACTCAGCACCTGCAGGAGGATCAGTGAGGGGCTGGTGCTCTGTGAACTGGGTGCAGCTCTGACTGCCACCCCCCCCCATCCAGAAATAGATTAAGGGGAAGAAGATGGATTCTTAATAACAATGGGCCTCATTCACAAATAACTTCGTAAGAAACGTCTCAAATTTCTTCTCAAGTTGTCCTTAAGTAGATTTCTAAGAAGTCCCTACATGGGATTCATCAACGCACTCGTAAGCCGCTGAATTGTTCGCAGCTGTTCTCTCAGATTGATGAATCCCATTTCCTCGTAAGTACAGCGCGCGTGCCAGGTGCTTCATTAGCATAGTACTTAGCATAAGTAACCGCCCACTAATGCCCATATAAGGGACTGAAGGGCCGTGTGCAGACACCAGAGGAAACAGCAACAGGCCTAAAGCAGAGTTACACGGAGCAAAAGAGTCACCCTTTTTTCTTCCTTTACCAGACTGAGAATAAAGTTATAAAATGTTGACTTAAAAGGCGAAATATTATGATAATAAAGTTGAACTAGCAAAATTATGAGATTAATCTAAGAATATGATGAGATTAATCTCAAAATGTTATGAGCTTAATTTAAAAATATATTATGTATTATTTTAAAGATGAATCTCAAAATGTTTTGAGATTAATCTCAAAATATTTTGGACCCTGGGAGGAGATCCAGCGCGGACCAGCGCTGAGACCAATGCAGACCCGAGGAGAGACTGGAGTGACCAGCACACAGAAACCAGCGCGGACCTATAGGAGAGACCGCATAGACTGGAGTGACCTGACTGCAGAGACCGGTGCGCAGAGACCAGCGCGGACCGAAGATAGACCGCATAGACCAGACTTGAGAGACCAGCGCGGACCCGTATGGATCCAGGAGCATGCAGCACGGACCCGTATGGAGAGACCAGTGCAGACCCGTCTAGAGCCATGGGAGAGACCAGTGCAGACCCGTCTAGATCCATGGGAGAGACCAGTGCAGACCCGTATAGATCCATGGGAGAGACCAGCGCAGACCCGTATAGATCCATGGGAGAGACCAGTGCAGACCCGTATAGATCCATGGGAGAGACCAGTGCAGACCCGTCTAGATCCATGGGAGAGACCAGTGCAGACCAGTATAGATCCATGGGAGAGACCAGTGCAGACCCGTATAGATCCATGGGAGAGACCAGTGCAGACCCGTATAGATCCATGGGAGAGATCAGTGCAGACCCGTATAGATCCATGGGAGAGACCAGTGCAGACCCGTATAGATCCATAGGAGAGACCAGCGCAGAGACTCAGCGCGGATCCAGTAACCTCCTGCAGCAGCAGTATATATGCCGTTGTTCTGTGGCCCGTGGATAAAGAAATGCCCCCTATAAATAGGAAGGGGTCACTAATACACGGCAAGATTTCCAATGTATTTGATAAAGCGTTGGCAAATTTTATTTCAAAATGAATTAAAAAGTAGGCCAGATCTGCAGTGAAAAAGGCGGTATATAAATAAAGATTACTAATAAAGATTACTACAAATAAATAAATACATACATCGATATGACGGACATATCACTGGAATGTTGTATTTTTATTCAACTTCACCAAAGACAACCCCGGCGTGTGAACATGTCGGCACTGAATGCGTACAAGTGCTCCTGAGGACTCGTAGGATTTGTACTTGCCCAAGAGAAATTCTGGTTACGAGAAATATTCGTGAATGCCACTTTCTTCGTAAAAACCGCGTAAGTAGGATTTACGTACAAATCTGTTCCTAAGAACCGTTCGTGAATGAGGCCCAATGAAACCAAAACAGACCACTATCACAAGTTTAGACCTTTGAACAGAGGATCAGACTCAATTTTTGTAGGATTGGAATGAAGGGTCAATTGTGGTTATTTATTTTATTTATTGATTTATTTGATAGGTACAATTGAACACAATCAACATGTGAAACACTACAACATTTATAGCCAAGGCTAGTTTGCAATGTCCGTCCCTAGGAGGGCTTTTAACACAATTAAAAGACATTATACATTATAAAATTCAAATTATACAAAAGCAGATGTTCTCCAACTCATTGATGCTCACACACCTGGTTTTTTTTTTTAAATCAATTTTTTTTTAGATATCTCATCTAAAAAAAAAATAGGGTTAGGGTCTTCAAAGATCTTTTCATTCATTTTCTACCCCTTTATTAGTCCATTTGTGGGTGGGGGGGTGACAAGGAGAGCTGCCCTCTGATCCTCTGCAGGGGGGGAGTCCACAGGAACATGGCTGCTACATCAGTGGTGCCACAGCTTTGGTGATTCAGTGGGAGCTTCAGGCAATGTGGGGTTAAGTGTCTTGCCCAAGGACACAATGACAGCAGACATCAGTGGGAGCAGTTAGGATCTTCAAGGATCTTAAGTAATAGTTTTTTTAGGAATCCACTGATCCAGCTTTTACAATACATTGTTGTTTTCGATCCCAAATGATCATAGAAATATTGCACAGACGCTGACGCTTTATGGAAAACAAGTTTGTATACATTTGCTAAACTACAGACCCCCACCCCCCAAGGAAGCAGAGGCCAGAAGAAACACACATTATCCTCATCACCGTTTGAAATTTCTCATACCTTAATATTCATGTTTGGAAATAAATGTCAAGCTGTGAGAAAAATGTATTAATTTGTAAAAGTTTGTACAAATTACTACATTTTTCTCATGAGCTGGTCATGAGCTTTGGGTAATGACTGAAAGACTGAGACTCCCAGATAAAAGCAGCCGAAATGAGCTTCCTCCACAAAGTGTCAGTGATAGGGTGAGGAGCTCCTTCACATGGCAGAGCTCAGAGTAGAGTCGCTGCGTCTCCCTGCAATGGAGGAAGCAGAAGAAAATGGATATTATACAATCAAAATCATTCTTCCTGAGCCAGGTGCATGATTTGTTTTTAACCAGAGGTTTTTTGCAGAGTACAATTCATTTATGCAACTCAAAGGGCATTACAAGTGATTTTCAAATCTTCAGAAGTAATACAACCACAAATGATTATATTGTGAGTCATCAAGATATTATCAACCCTCACTTTAAGAACACATTTCTTGAACCAGTCGCAGCCTTTAGAATGCTCTTCTAGTGTCCAGGGTCTATAGACTATTGAGTAATTGAGTTTTCTGTTGATCACTACAAATGCACTGTGGCGTAAAGCAAAAGGGTTAGGGTTCGAATGAGTCACGAGTCATGGTTTGTGATTTCTGCCACTACAGCGTTAAATGAAGACACTGCGTCTGTAATGTCCCCACTGTGGGACTAATACAGTAAAGGCATTCATTTGTTTGCCTTTGTTTATAGTGACATAGATGAGTGGAAGATGAGTCTTGGGCTTAAAGTGGAAATAACGAGGGAAAAGTACTGTAACGTGGTCGAGAGCTGTGAAAAGTGCATGTACCATGATCACATGATCACATGTTCACGTGATCACGTGATCATGTGAACATGTGATCATGTGAACATGTGATCATGTGAACATGTGATCATGTGAACATGTGAACATGTGATCATGTGAACATGTGATCATGTGAACATGTGATCATGTGAACATGTGAACATGTGATCATGTGAACATGTGATCATGTTCACATGTTCACGTGATCATGTGAACATGTGAACATGTGATCACGTGTTCACATGATCACATGTTCACATGTTCACATGATCACATGTTCACATGATCACATGTTCACATGATCACATGCTTGAGGTAAATGGACCACTGTAATGGCCCGCTTACATGTCTTAGTAAAACAGATTCACAACAGTTCAAAGTTCTGCTCTGCACATGCAAAATATTTCTCAAACGTTATTGAATACACTTTTTAATATATTATTTTGTTAATTCTCAGGAATCAAAGCAAACTCGTATATACAAGGTCCAGTACAGAGGTGAACACACAATGTGTCATGAACCATTTTTACAACATTAAAACACAAAGATTGTCTAAACAATTATAATTTTAATGGCATTTTTGTCTAGTAAAATGATAATGAGTCTTTTCAATTTGCCATTTCATGTTTCAAAATGTGAAATAATATCATTAGCTATAATATCTTAAGTGGTAATGTGAGTAGGGCGGGGCAATAAATCGAATTTAGGAAATGAATCGGCTTTTGAAAAAATCTAATTTGTGAAAAATGTGAAAATCGTGAAATGGAATGAAAGATATCGTGAGAGTTCCAGCAGCTCATGAATTATACTTTCAATATCAGCACAGTCTGTACAAGACTTTTGTAATACGTATTTGGGGAAACAAATTAAACATCATTTTGAAATGCAAAGATCAAAACATATTTTTAAGGGCAAAGTCTGTCTTTGGTGACTTCAATGAAAATCTATTTAAAATTGTCGATCCTCATTCTCCGTCTTCGGGCCAAATACTCTCGTCACGTATTTACACCAACAACATATTTTCTCGAACACAAAAAAGCACAGACGCTTATTTACGCTTATGACCATAGACGGCGCTGATTCGCTTCTGACGTCACGGATCAGCTCGTTTCTGTGCCTCTCAAGAGTGAAAGAGAAAGAACGCTCTCCAACCAAAGCTTGACAGAATCAATGAAAAAACAATGAAAAAACGGCCAAACAGCTGTGATCATGTTTAAAGCCCTTTCTACTCTCTCCTCTTCAGATCCTGTCCATGGGCATGATGACGGAGTATTACCACTACTTCTTTACAACGCTGGTGAGTGAATAAATTGGTACCTAAACCGTACATACTACAATTTGTTTCAATAACTGAAAAACAGAATGTGGGTTGGGTTTCTTTCAGAGCCTGCCGATATCTCAATAGACACAGGGGACTTTCTTTTAATAAAATTGTATACGAAACGATTTTTTAAAGGATAGGATTCGGTTCAGGCTTTTGGTCTCATATCTAACTGTCTATCGCATTTGAACCAAAAGCACATTATTGATGCATTTATATTTCATTTTAAATAACAATACATGTCCCATGATTAATTTATTAACAAATCTGAAAATGAAAATGATGTTAAAAAAAACAGAACAATGCTTTTTAGAGCTTATAAAAAAGACTCGAGAGCTTGAATAGACTTGTGCTCTAAGCTCTAAGTTGGCAAAGAGTAAAAAAATATCATAAATGTATAATAATGATTCATAAGTTATAAGTATTTATATAATATATATAACCAGCACTTTAGTGAGATGGATTCTAATTATTCTATTTTGTGTGGTTGGAATATGAAGTATCACAGCTTTCACTTCTGTAGGTGAAAAAGAATAGATCATTTCATATGACAAAAGCGCAGACTTTGTACATGATAATAGAATATATTGCTTTTGAAACTTTTGGCAAAAACAGAAGGAACTGTTACACAAGTGGTTTTAACATTGAAAGCGTCCCGGCCGACCCCAAAATGTACTCATGAAACCGATCTGCTTTGTAATACTTGGCAAAACTACTCAATTTTTTAATCAAGCAGGTTTTTATCCTGGTCAGTAGGTCATCTGAGCTCACACACGCACGCGCACACGCACACGCACACGCACACGCGCACACGCACACGCACACATGAATGTTGAAAGCTTGAATGGTGATTGGATCTGATATAACTCATGCTAAAACAAAAGCAGAAGCAGCTGCAGTCCCAAACTTAAATACTGAAAAGCTGTATGCTTGTTCTTCTGCCGTCATCTGTTCTGGTCAATGGAGAGCAATTAGAGGTGGTACAACAATGTAAATATCTGGGAATCATCTTTTATTCAAACTTCACTTTCAAAGACCATGTCAAGAAAATATCGAATATTGTTAAATTTAACTTGGCAAACTTCAAACGTATAAGGTCTTACATATAAGACAGAGCAAAGGGACACTATGATATTTAGTCACATTAACAACTCTCACCCTGCACATGGACTGCTCCAACCACTCCCCTCTCACCTGCACATGGACTATTCCAACCACTCCCCTCTCACCTGCACATGGACTATTCCAACCTCTCCCCTCTCACCTGCACATGGACTATTCCAACCTCTCCCCTCTCACCCTGCACATGGACTGCTCCAACCTCTCCCCTCTCACCCTGCACATGGACTATTCCAACCTCTCCCCTCTCACCTGCACATGGACTATTCCAACCTCTCCCCTCTCACCTGCACATGGACTGCTCCAACCTCTCCCCTCTCACCTGCACATGGACTGCTCCAACCTCTCCCCTCTCACCTGCACATGGACTATTCCAACCTCTCCCCTCTCACCTGCACATGGACTGCTCCAACCTCTCCCCTCTCACCTGCACATGGACTATTCCAACCTCTCCCCTCTCACCTGCACATGGACTGCTCCAACCTCTCCCCTCGGGCAGGAGACTACGGTCCATTCGGACCAGAACCTCTCGCCATAAGAACAGTTTCTTCCCCTCCCCTTATGACTCTTGAACACTTCATAACCTGTCCCCCCGCTCTTTATAAGTCACCTTACTGTCCTTTATAAAGTCACTCTACTGCCCATCATAACGTCACTTTACTGCTCTCATCTTATTGCACTGCCTACTGCATATTGTGTGCACCAATATGCAGTAAGTTTAATTGTACTCGTAATAATTCGATTTAAAATGTTATACCTTAGAAATGTATGCTGATTATTATTATGCCTTACTCTATTCTTAACCTCTCTTTTCTGACTGTTGCAAAGAAATGTACTAGTATGTGACTTCTTGGTACTTACATGGCAATCAAAATGATTCTGATTCTGATTCTGAATTGTTGCGGGTGATCTTGTGCAGGACCTGTTCTCCCTGGACCTGGAGCCGTACCGCTACAGTGGGGTGAACATGACGGGCTTCAGGCTGCTCAACATCGACAACCCCCAGGTGGCCTCCGTGGTGGAGCGCTGGGCCATGGAGCGGCTGCAGTCCCCGTCCAAGGTGGAGCTGGGCATGATGGAGGGCATGATGACGGTGAGGACAGGGCTTTGGTATTGATTCAGGAAGGTCTAGTTTACACTGTGAAAAATATAGGACTAGGTTCAATGGCCCTCATTTATGAAACTTGTGTACGGACAAATCAGGGTGTAAATGAGGCGTACGCAAAAATGTTACACTTTTCGGCATTTATCAATCTGGACGTGGGCGTACGGTACGCACAGAATATACGCCAAGTCTGGAGGTGGAGTAAATGTGTACACCCATCTCAACCTTCATCACAACACGCCAAAACACGCATGAAATTCAAGATTTGGACAACAATTCCCATATTCAGACTCTGACAGGATTATAGGTACACCTCTCACATTACAAATATGCAATTTTACGGTGTTATGTTAGGGCTAGTTTGTGTTATTAAATAACAAGATGTCAAACTTAGTCTCCCACAAATGTGTGGATTGTTATATCACCTACAATCAGTGCGTAATGGCTTTGGTCCAAGCGGGTCCAAGCAAAGACACCACCGTGGAGCGCTGCGCGGGTCTGATCAGGCTCTGGGACATGTAGGGGGTACGCTCTGGTACCTCCTGGTACAAGTGTGCCACATGGTCCTGGCTCGGTTCTCCACAACAGGCACAGGACCACAGTGTGCCACTGGTGGAGCAGCAGATGAGAGACCATGGCCAGCACCGCCTTCGGCCTGTACAGCTCAGACAGGCTTCATTCAACCATTTTAAAATAATAATCACGTAATTTGAAGATAATTTCTTAATATTTTCTTTTGGATGCTTTTATCTGGCGGTCCTCCCCCTTCGCTGCTGAGCACTTCTTCTATGGGCTGCGCTAAACGCCTTTTTGTTACCATTTTAAGGTTGCTCCCTTTTTTTTCACTTGTAGCATAAATTAATACATTCTTACTATTGGCCAATATATCAACTGTTTGACATAATTTAGTGTATTTTTCTACAAACATGAATAAACTCACCTCTTCAGGAGAGCGTGTTACCGCCCCCACGCTGTTTACAGATGCTGTCATCTCTTTCCATATTTTCTTTTTTGAGCCCCTTGATGCCACTTTTGAGGCTTCCAAAAAGTAAGACTCAATCTCCTGCCCCGTGAAGATTTTTTTCTTTGCCGTTTCCTCTCAATTGTCGTAAAACAGGGCGTGAAACAGGCAGTTGCTGCATATTTCTAGGCGTGACTTTCTCTAAATACGTTTGTTTTCAGCCGCGGCATTTATCAACAACCGCAGGTGCGTACGCTTATATCGGGGCGGATCTCACACGTTCATAAATCCGGCGTTGGCTCGTGCGTATTTGGAATATACACCGAAAATATACACCCTTTTCTGCGCAAGTTTCTTAAATGAAGGTCAATGGGAGGGAATTTCTGTCAAGTCGAGAAAATAAAGTACCGGAATACGGAGGTAAGAATCATGTATTTAAAGCTAAAACCATTCTAAACACAAAAAGCATAAATCACACAAAAAAAATCTCCAGTGTCCTTATCTGAGAGAGAGCGTCATCTGTCACCTACAGTCTCTCTCCCTAAAACCTTCAAACAAGGTCAGAAATCTAGGGGTAATACTGGACTCAGACTTAAATTATAATAGCCACATCAAATCAGTAACATCAGCAGCTTTTTACCATCTAAAAAACATTGCCAGGATCAAAAACATAGTGTCTAAAGCAGACTTGGAGATTCTTATCCATGCATTTGTCTCCAGTAGGTTAGACTACTGCAATGGCCTGCTCACAGGTCTGTCCAAACAGGCTGTAAAACAGCTGCAGTACATTCAAAATGCAGCAGCTCGAGTCCTGACAAGAACCAGGAAGTACGACCATATTAGTCCTGACTAGAACCAGGAAGTACGACCACATTAGTCCTGACTAGAACCAGGAAGTACGACCACATTAGTCCTGACTAGAACCAGGAAGTACGACCACATTAGTCCTGACTAGAACCAGGAAGTACGACCACATTAGTCCTGACTAGAACCAGGAAGTACGACCACATTAGTCCTGACTAGAACCAGGAAGTACGACCATATTAGTCCTGACTAGAACCAGGAAGTACGACCACATTAGTCCTGACTAGAACCAGGAAGTACGACCACATTAGTCCTGACTAGAACCAGGAAGTACGACCACATTAGTCCTGACTAGAACCAGGAAGTACGACCACATTAGTCCTGACTAGAACCAGGAAGTACGACCATATTAGTCCTGACTAGAACCAGGAAGTACGACCACATTAGTCCTGACTAGAACCAGGAAGTACGACCACATTAGTCCCGACTAGAACCAGGAAGTACGACCACATTAGTCCTGACTAGAACCAGGAAGTACGACCACATTAGTCCTGACTAGAACCAGGAAGTACGACCACATTAGTCCTGAATAGAACCAGGAAGTACGACCACATTAGTCCTGACTAGAACCAGGAAGTACGACCACATTAGTCCAGTCCTCAGGTCTCTGCACTGGCTTCCTGTGGCTCAGAGAATAGACTTTAAAACAGCTCTGCTTGTTACAAGTCTCTCCATGGCCTCGCACCAAAATATATTAGTGACATGTTAGTCCCATATGAACCAGCCCGGACTCTGAGGAGCACAGGGACTGGACTCCTGCTGGGACTCTGAGGAGCACAGGGACTGGCCTCCTGCTGGGACTCTGAGGAGCACAGGGACTGGCCTCCTGCTGGGACTCTGAGGAGCACAGGGACTGGACTCCTGCTGGGACTCTGAGGAGCACAGGGACTGGACTCCTGCTGGGACTCTGAGGAGCACAGGGACTGGCCTCCTGCTGGGACTCTGAGGAGCACAGGGACTGGACTCCTGCTGGGACTCTGAGGAGCACAGGGACTGGCCTCCTGCTGGGACTCTGAGGAGCACAGGGACTGGACTCCTGCTGGGACTCTGAGGAGCACAGGGACTGGACTCCTGCTGGGACTCTGAGGAGCACAGGGACTGGACTCCTGCTGGGACTCTGAGGAGCACAGGGACTGGACTCCTGCTGGGACTCTGAGGAGCACAGGGACTGGACTCCTGCTGGGACTCTGAGGAGCACAGGGACTGGACCCCTGCTGGGACTCTGAGGAGCACAGGGACTGGCGTCCAGCTGGGACTCTGAGGAGCACAGGGACTGGACTCCTGCTGGGACTCTGAGGAGCACAGGGACTGGCCTCCTGCTGGGACTCTGAGGAGCACAGGGACTGGCCTCCTGCTGGGACTCTGAGGAGCACAGGGACTGGCCTCCTGCTGGGACTCTGAGGAGCACAGGGACTGGACTCCTGCTGGGACTCTGAGGAGCACAGGGACTGGACTCCTGCTGGGACTCTGAGGAGCACAGGGACTGGCCTCCTGCTGGGACTCTGAGGAGCACAGGGACTGGACTCCTGCTGGGACTCTGAGGAGCACAGGGACTGGCCTCCTGCTGGGACTCTGAGGAGCACAGGGACTGGCCTCCTGCTGGGACTCTGAGGAGCACAGGGACTGGCCTCCTGCTGGGACTCTGAGGAGCACAGGGACTGGCCTCCTGCTGGGACTCTGAGGAGCACAGGGACTGGCCTCCTGCTGGGACTCTGAGGAGCACAGGGACTGGCCTCCTGCTGGGACTCTGAGGAGCACAGGGACTGGCCTCCTGCTGGGACTCTGAGGAGCACAGGGACTGGCCTCCTGCTGGGACTCTGAGGAGCACAGGGACTGGACTCCTGCTGGGACTCTGAGGAGCACAGGGACTGGCCTCCTGCTGGGACTCTGAGGAGCACAGGGACTGGCCTCCTGCTGGGACTCTGAGGAGCACAGGGACTGGCCTCCTGCTGGGACTCTGAGGAGCACAGGGACTGGCCTCCTGCTGGGACTCTGAGGAGCACAGGGACTGGCCTCCTGCTGGGACTCTGAGGAGCACAGGGACTGGACTCCTGCTGGGACTCTGAGGAGCACAGGGACTGGCCTCCTGCTGGGACTCTGAGGAGCACAGGGACTGGCCTCCTGCTGGGACTCTGAGGAGCACAGGGACTGGCCTCCTGCTGGGACTCTGAGGAGCACAGGGACTGGCCTCCTGCTGGGACTCTGAGGAGCACAGGGACTGGCCTCCTGCTGGGACTCTGAGGAGCACAGGGACTGGCCTCCTGCTGGGACTCTGAGGAGCACAGGGACTGGCCTCCTGCTGGGACTCTGAGGAGCACAGGGACTGGACTCCTGCTGGGACTCTGAGGAGCACAGGGACTGGCCTCCTGCTGGGACTCTGAGGAGCACAGGGACTGGACTCCTGCTGGGACTCTGAGGAGCACAGGGACTGGCCTCCTGCTGGGACTCTGAGGAGCACAGGGACTGGCCTCCTGCTGGGACTCTGAGGAGCACAGGGACTGGCCTCCTGCTGGGACTCTGAGGAGCACAGGGACTGGCCTCCTGCTGGGACTCTGAGATGGCACGCTGCTGTGTTTGTGCATTCCATTAAACAGAAGAATGAGAATAAATGTAGATATTCAAACGCAAATTGGAAAAAAAGGGCAACTTTTGAGCAAATAATTGTATATTAATACAATGGCACCACAGTTTAACGTGCTACGGACATGTTTTACATATTTGATCAAATTATGCAGCAAAAATTAACAAGCAATGCAAACATTTCTCAAAAACTTTAGATTTAATACCAGTTGGAGCTCCATTTAATTATTTTAATTATATTAACAATTAATTTAATTAATGCTAATGCCACACGGACACTCTGGATTGCTGTTATTGTTTATTTCCGCGTTTTTGACCGTATGTTTTGGTGAATGGTGGGCAACTGATTTTTCCAGGCGTAAAGAGCAGTTTATTTTATGACACAGATCTTTTTACAGAAGCAATGCTGTTTGTGAACATTGTTTTAGCCCACCATAGAACTATTATTATCTATTTAATACATTTACGTTGCCCTCGAGAGCCTCGGACGCGACACCGATCCTCCTCATAATAAAGTAATCTAAATAATGAAACTCTCAAGTTACCAGCTATCAGCATACACAAGTTAGTACTGAGTAAATTACGTCTGTCAACACATTATAAGATA